TAGCCCATTACAAAATGGGCTGCTGCCTTAAATCTGTGTCCCACCGCAAATTGCAGGCCTTAGAACCACCAGTGAGAGATGTGGCCTTCGCCTGCTCCCAAGTGGTTGTTTGGGTGCAAGATTTACTTCTTTATTTCCGTTTTATTCATTGGCTATATTTCTACTGTGGCTCGTTAGCCAAGATGAGAATGAGAAATGATGGATCAAGCAATCCTATAGATACTCACTCAAAATGATGTCCCGTGAGCACAACGGGGTTTGCTCCCACATGAAGTGAGTACAGTGGTACCTCAGGTTAAGTACTTAATTTGTTCCGGAGGTCCGTACTTAACCTGAAACTGTTCTTAACCTGAAGCACCACTTTAGCTAATGGGGCCTCCTGCTGCTGCTGCCACGCCACCAGAGCCCGATTTCTGTTCTTATCCTGAAGCAAAGTTCTTAACCTGAAGCACTGTTTCTAGGTTAGCGGAGTGTGTAACCTGAAGCGTATGTAACCTGAAGCGTATGTAACCCAAGGTACCACTGTATAGTATTCCAACTTTATTTTTATTTTATTTTTAAAAACATCCAGCGGAAGCTAATAATTGCTACTGCCTATAAGTCTGCTTTTAAATCAGCTGAAAACTCCAATCCATTGCAAGAAGCAAACATTGCTTATTAACAGTGCAGACCACCCAGCGGTAGAGGCTCCCACCTTGTGGGAGAGCATTTGATTTGCATGCAAGAAGGCCGCAGGTTCAGTTCCTCCCAGCATTTCCAGGTTGGGCTGGGAAAGAGACCTCCCCACAAAGCCTTGGAAAACGGCTGCCAGTCGGTGTAGACAATACTGAGGGTTCTGTTTAGTTATAATAGGTACTTCCACCCCAGGAACATAAGAAGCTGCCATATATTGGGCTGGAGTCCTTGGTCCATCTTGGCTCAGCATTGCCCACACTGACTGGCAGCAGCAGTCCAGGGGTCTGTGCAGAGGTCTCTCTCCCAGCCCTACCTGAAGATGCCATTGAGGATTGAAGCTGGGACCTCCTTGCAAGGCAGATTAAGCTCCACCCATTGAGCTAGGACTCTTCCTCTAGCCTAGATCTATCCCCTTCCTCCCTGCATGTATCTCATCCGACTAGTCATCATCATCATCATCATCATCATCATCATCAAGAAAGTGGAATCTGCAACAAAATATAGCAGTATGGAAAGCTGCTGCTCTGGCTGCCATCCATCCATGCTGTTTTCCAGGATATTCCATTCCAGTCTGACTGCATCCCACCCCAGATTGCCATTCCCTCACCTGAACAATCAGAATTTTCTGCATCGTTGGCATATTCAGTCCTCAGTGTGCTATAACAATGATGCTGGAGGAGACTCTTGAGAGTCCCATGGACTGCAAGAAGATCAAACCTCTCCATTCTGAAGGAAATCAGCCCTGAGTGCTCACTGGAAGGACAGATCCTGAAGCTGAGGCTCCAAGACTTTGGCCACCACATGAGAAGAGAAGACTCTCTGGAAAAGACCCTGATGTTGGGAAAGATGGAGGGCACAAGGAGAAGGAGACGACAGAGGACGAGATGGCTGGACAGTGTTCTCAAAGCTACCAGCATGAGCCTGACCAAACTGCAGGAGGCAGTGGAAGACAGGAGTGCCTGGCGTGCTCTGGTCCAGGGGGTCACGAAGAGTTGGACATGACTAAAAGACTAAACAACAACAATGTGTCCGTTGTTGTTGTTGTTGTTGTCTACTAAACAGCCATCCTAATGGATTTTCCCCAACCCCAAACACACACACTTTTGCAAACCTTGGAATTCCTCTCTTCATATTTATTTCTTATTTTACACATTTATAAAGGTAAAGGTAAAGGTAAAGGTACCCCTGCCCGTACGGGCCAGTCTTGACAGACTCTGGGGTTGTGCGCCCATCTCACTTAAGAGGCCAGGGGCCAGCGCTGTCCGGAGACACTTCCGGGTCACGTGGCCAGCGTGACATCGCTGCTCTGGCGAGCCAGAGCCGCACACGGAAACGCCGTTTACCTTCCCGCTAGTAAGCGGTCCCTATTTATCTACTTGCACCCGGGGGTGCTTTCGAACTGCTAGGTTGGCAGGCGCTGGGACCGAGCAGCGGGAGCGCACCCCGTCGCGGGGATTCGAACCGCCGACCTTTCAATCGGCAAGCCCTAGGCGCTGAGGCTTTTACCCACAGCGCCACCCGCGTCCCGCGTACACATTTATAAACCGCTTCAAAGCCTGAAGCCATCAAAGTTGTGTATGACAATGTAAAATATGATAAAATACAAAAAATAAACTACAATTTCCAAAAGCAATAACTGCAAAACCATTCCCACAGACTATAAAAAATCAGTGAAACCGTTTCTACAGATGACTTCTGCATCACTGGTGCAGTTTCTCAGAGAACTGAACCGCTATCAGTACATTATAGGGTTCTTTTTATTTAGGAAATGTATAATATTTCCTTATAATAATCCCTGAGCAGTAAACAGATTAAATTCTATATAAAACATGAAATACACAGACCAATTAAAAACAATTATGCATAAAAGCATCACTAAAAACAATTTAAAAGAATTAAACACATTTAGAACAAATAACTAAATGATGTGTTTCTGGAGAGAGTTGCTGAAACAATAATGTTTTCAGCAGGCATCTGGAATGGTATCGTGATACAGCACAATCAGCATTGTTAATGGCACCCTAAAGAATCATATGGGTAAAAAATAGATCCCTGCCCTCAAGGAGTTTACAGTCCTAATAAAAAAAATTAAAAAGGAAAACACCAAAATCACATCTAACAGTGTAGGTGCTGACCTTGAAAGCCCTAAACAGCCTCGGCCCAGTATACCTGAAGGAGCGTCTCCACCCCTATCATCCAGCCCTGACACTGAGGTCCAGTGCTGAGGGCCTTCTGGCGGTTCCCTCACTGCGAGAAGTGAGGTTACAGGGAACCAGGCAGAGGGCCTTCTTGGTAGTGGTGCCCACCAGATGTCAAGGAAATAAACAACCGTCTGACTTTTAGAAGACATCTGAAGGCAGCCCTGTTTAGGGAACTTTTTAATGTTTGATGTTTTAACACATGATGATGATGATGGGAGCTGCCCAGAATGGCTGGGGAAACCCAGCTAGATGGGTGGGGTATACATTCATTCTTCTTCTTCTTCTTCTTCTTCTTCTTCTTCTTCTTCTTCATCTTCATCTTCATCTTCATCTTCATCTTCATCTTCATCTTCTTATTCTCAGTGCTATGCTTTGCAGTGCAACAAAATAAAACACCATATTACTAAATCGATCCTACAGACCTTCACCATATGTATAATCAATTCCTGTTTCTGACATTCCACGTTCTCTCATTCTGTGATCCAAGTACAGTGGTACCTCGGGTTAAGTACTTAATTCGTTCTGGAGGTCCGTTCTTAACCTGAAACTGTTCTTAACCTGAAACACCACTTTAGCTAATGGGGCCTCCCACTGCTGCCGCACCGCCAGAGCACGATTTCTGTTCTCATCCTGATGCAAAATTCTTAACCCGAGGTACTATTTCTGGGTTACCGGAGTCTGTAACCTGAAGCGTATGTAACCCAAGGTACCACTGTATGTCTTACAAGCCAGGATCGAAATATGCATTTGGGGAGCCATTTATTAACTTTTTACCATGTTTTTTTCATGGTGGTAGTGCTTCTATTTCCACTCTCCTTGGATCAGGCTCTCACCCACTGAGAGCTCCCAACCTACCAGTTGAATTCCGTCTGGCATTTACTGGACGTAGCCAGAATACTGCAGTCGGAAGCAGTGCCGGAGTATCGTTTTTGGTGATTTCCCTTCAAAAATTGTTCAACGACTTTTGTGTCTGGATTTTCACTTTTTTAAAAATATGGCAACTAAAAGTTTATTTATGCTTCATTATTCTGATTTCTTCTACAACTCCCTGATCAACCTCAGGAGTTTTATACAGTCTAAAAATATCTAAGCCAATTGACCGTTTGCCGGAATCCCCTGCTGTTAACTCTACATGGTGCGATTGAAGTCAGTGGATGGGAGTAACGGATACAGACAGGCCATTGTTTCTCAAGTCGAGATGCAGGATCACACCCTCTTTTCCTGGTGTGCTTAGCAGACCAAAATCCTGCGCCTTTCCTCCACTAGAAAACAAGAAAAGAAATGGAGGCTTTTCCTGGCGTAAAGAAGAAACGGAGGGGAGCGTTTCACGTGTTGAACCTCTGCCTGTTTCTCCAGCAACTCTCTGTCCATTACAGATAATAAAAGATGGAAATATAGTAGGTTACTGTTGTGAACCTCTTTGGGAATTGTAGTTTGTTAAGCTGGGAATTGTAGTTCTGTGAGAAGCAAACAACAGTTCTTTGGATTCCTTGGAGTGCAAGCATGTACGGTACTTTAAAGTATGGGGCATACGCCAGCTTAACAAGGGCGCATGTGTGTGAGGTGTGGTCGCTATGCAGCAACTCAAGGAAATTAATAATAATTTATTATTTATACCCCACCCATCTGGCTGGGCTTCCCCAGCCACTCTGGGCGGCTTTCAACATAATATTAAAATACAGTAATGCATCAAACATTAAAAGCTTCCCTAAACAGGGCTGATGATTTCTAAAAGTCTGGTAGTTGTTGTTCTCTTTAACATCTGGTGGGAGGCCGTTCCACAGGGCGGGTGCCACCACTGAGAAGGCCCTTTGGTACTTTGCACATGCTCAAGGACACTCTCAGCAGTCAAGCGCCTTGCGAATGGCTCTTATTTAGTTCTGTATCCCGTTTCTACCCCACTTTTTAGTGTTGAAAAAAGGTGGAATGCCTGGCTCTCTCCCATCCCCATTACAGCAACCCTGCAAGGTAGGAGAGACGGGCGACTGGCTCAAGAACACACCAGCAAGCTCCACGGTGGCCTGAGCAGGACATTACAAACCCTGTCCTCTCCCCGGTCCCGGAACTCTAACCACTGCGCCGCACTCCCCCAGGCGTCAGGTCTCCCTTTGGGGGCATGAATGAGCAGCAGCGCCAAGTTCATTCATGCCGCCCGGGGCGCGCGGGGGCGGGGGAAGAAGAGCCCATTGAAGAAATCCGCTCCTCCCGGGGCTGAGTCAGCTCAGAATTTTCAGCCCTGCTGGCTTAACCCCTCCCTGCCCGCGGGAGGGGGGGGCAAGCGGCTTTTCTCTCTGGCCTTCCAGCGAGGAGGAATGGGGGAGTGGTCTGAGCCTCCCGCTGGCTGGGAAGAAGGAGGAAGAGGAGGAAAAAAAAAGGTTGCTGGGCGAGAGGAGGAGTTTGGGTTCCACCTCGCAACTTCTCATCCCTTCCCCCCCCTTTAAACTTTTCTGATCTTTCTTTCTTTCTCTTTCCCCCTTCTCTTTCTTTCTTTTCTTTCTTCCCAGGAAAGAGGGGGGAAAACCCAAGTTTGCAACTCTCTGGGGGCCATGGCCAAATCTTACGATCACCTCTTCAAGCTGCTCCTGATCGGAGACAGTGGAGTGGGGAAGACGTGCCTGATCATCCGCTTTGCAGAAGACAACTTCAGCGGGACCTATATCAGTACCATCGGTGAGAGGGGTTGGGGGGCTGTGAGGGGGGGTTCCAGGGGAATGGGGTGGGCGGTTCTGGGGAGATCTGGGGAAAGACAGGGGTTCTGTCACCCCCTTGCACCTCGATCTTCGCATCCTCCTCCTCCCAGTCCGAATCCCCCAAGACATTTGATTGTTTATCCATCAAACGCATCGATATCCCACCTTTTGACGCAAGGGCACGATTCTCTCCCTCCACATTTAAGCCCCACAACATCCCTGAGAGGTAGGAGAGGCCAAGTGAGATTGGGGCTGAGTGGGGATTGGAATAAGGTTACCAGATTTTTCCCCAATGAATCCGGGGACACTTTTCAATTTCCTACTAAATAGATGGGGACCGATTTGTAAATCGGGGGACTGTCCCCGGGAAACGGGGACGTCTGGTAACCGTATATTGGAACCTTGGTCTCTCCCAGATCTGAGTTTGACACCCTGACCCATGGGTAGGCAAACTAAGGCCCGGGGGCCGGATCCGGCCCAATCGCCTTCTAAATCCGGCCCACGGACAGTCCAGGAATCAGCGTGTTTTTACATGAGTAGAATTTGCCCTTTTATTTAAAATGCATCTCTGGGTTATTTGTGGGGCCTGCCTGGTGTTTTTACATGAGTAGAATGTGTGCTTTTGTTTAAAATGCATCTCTGGATGATTTGTACGGCATAGGAATTCGTTCTCCCCCCCCCTTCAAAATATAGTCCGCCCCCCCCCACAAGGTTGAGGGACAGTGGACCAGCCCCCTGCTGAAAAAGTTTGCTGACCCCTGCATTACACTGCCAGGAGGAATGGGCACCCCCCCCCGCTAGCGGCAGAGCTGCACTGTGCATTTAAAGTGCATTCAATGCACATTTGTCATTATTTATGAAATTTATAGGCCGCCCTTCATGAAAAGACAGTTGGTCAGTTTGCAACGCAGAATGCCTAACATTGACAAGGCAGGTTAAAAATCAAACACAGTTATATTTTATTTATTCCTTAAAATTTATACGCCGTCTAATAATTAAAAACCCTAAACAAAATGCAAAGAGGTTTACAGAAAGGGTATCGAGGCAGGTTGAAAATCAAAACAGCAATATATAAATACAGTTATATTTTATTTATTCCAATAAATTTGTACGTCATCTGATGATACAAACCCAAACGAAACTCAAAGCGGTTTACAGAATAAAGCTGCAAAATCATCGGTGAAAACGTTAAGAGCAACTGTTTTAAAACATTCCAAGAAATAATTGAAAGCTTAAAACTAGATTTTAAAAATTGTTCGATGTGTTTGGATGGGCTTGCCTAAACAAACAAGTTTTAAAGTTATCAATGGGCAGGGAGTTCCAAAGTGCATCTGCTTCCATGAGAAAAGATTTTGAGTTCTGACAAATGCGGAAGAGGTATTATTACAGGTACCCGTAACGGGGCCAGTTCCGTTGATTGAAGCGGTTAATGGGGCATGCATGGGGCAAGGTGATCTTGCTGGTAAACTAAGAAGATAAAGCGGTTAAGGGCCTCATGTACTAATAGTAACAGTTTGAACTAGTCCTGTAGAAGAAACACATAATAAAGTACATATTACAAGTACAAGTATACCTGGAGCGTCTCCACACCCGACATTCAGCCCGGACACTGAGGTTCAGCGCCGGGGCCGTCTGGCGGTTCCCTCACTGTGAGAAGCCAAGTTACAGAGAACCAGGCAGAGGGCCTTCTCGGTAGTGGCACCCGCCCTGTGGAATGCCCTCCCAGCAGATGACAAGGAAATAAACAACTATCCGACGTTTAGAAGACATCTGAAGGCAGCCGTGTTTAGGGAAGCTTTTTAAGGCTTAATGTTTCACTATGTTTTTATATATGCTGAAAGCCACTCAGAGTGGCTGGGGCAACCCAGTCAGATGGGGTTTTTTAAGAGAAATAAATTACAGTGGTGCCTCGCAAGACGAAATTAATTCGTTCTGCGAGTTTTTTCATCTTGCGAATTTTTCGTCTTGCGAAGCACGGTGTCGGAAAAGTTTTGGAAAAGCTTCCAAAATCACCAAAGTCTTCAAAAACCTCAAAAAAGGCTACCACACCGCGTGCTATGAGTTGCTCCTCGAAGTCAAGTCGCAACTGTATTAACGGTTTTAAGAAAAAGGAAACAAACTTGCAAGACGTTTCCGTCTTGCGAAGCAAGCCCATAGGGAAATTCGTCTTGCGAAGCAACTCAAAAAACCAAAAACCCTTTCGTCTTGCGAGGCACTCGTCTTGCGAGGCACTCGTCTTGTGAGGTACCACTGTATTATTATTATTATTATTATTATTATTATTATTATTATTATTATTACTATTCTGCATAATAACAACAGCACAAAACATACAGAGGGATAAAATGAGCAGCATTGTATCTAAAAGCACAGCCCACCCAAGGGCACACATACAAAACCTTTCTCTCTGTCCAAACGTCAGGCATAATCTTGGCCACCACAGAAAATGGCAGACCTTCTTAGCCCTCACCCGGGAGCTTCCCTTTCCTCTGCCTGTCTCCCACCCTAAGAGATCTTCACCTCCCTGCTTCTCACCCAGGCTCCTTCCACCACCCACCCACCACTTGAAAGCACATGACTTCCTTCAAAGTATCTTGGGAACTGTAGTTTGTGGAGGGCGCTGGGGATCGCAGCTCCTTGAGGTGGGAACTCCAGTTCTTGGGGTGCTTATTATGAGATGGGTGTTCCTTGGGTGTGCAGATCTTTGGCAGAATCCGTGCGACAGGGCGCTCGATTGCCGAGGTATGGGCTTCTCTTAAAAATAGTTTTAAGATTCCAGTCCTCGTGGAACTGAATAAACTGGAACTTGGGAAGTAGCCTTTCTTCTTCTTCTTCTTCTTCTTCTTCTTCTTCTTCTTCTTCTTCTTCTTCTTCTTCTTCTTCTTCTTCTTCTATCCCTCGTAGCCGAGTAAGATTGTCTTCCGTAAACACGGTTTTAACAATGAGTCCGTAAGGGACTGTGGAGGTCAGGCATAGGCAAACTTGGCCCTCCAGATGTTTTGGGACTACAACTCCCACCATCCCTAGCTAACAGGACCAGTGGTCATGGGTGATGGAAATTGTAGTCTCAAAACATCTGGAGGGCCGAGTTTGTCTATGCCTGGTGGAGGCCAATTCTGGACCCACACGTCCTTCCACGGTGGGGACACTGGTTTCCAGGCGGGAGCTGATCACGGTGTGGATTTGCCAAGCGTGCCTTCCTCTTAGCACGTTTCTCCCTTTTGTCCTGAGTTCAAGTGTCTTCAAAGCCCATGACACCTTTGGTAAAGGCTGTTCTCCAACTGGAGCACTCGCAGGCCAGTGTTTCCCAGTTGTCAGTGTTTATACTATTTAGAACAGTACTGTCTGCACTGACTGGCAGCAGCTCTGCAAGGTTTCAGGGAGAGGTCTCTCCAGGTAGGTCTGGGCTGTGTCCTGTGTTCCTAAGAGATGGATGGCCACCTGTCCTGGATGCTTTAGCTGAGATTCCGGCATTTCAGACAGTTGGACTAGATGACTTTTGGGGTCCCTTCCAATTCTATGATTCTGTTAGAGTGAGGGCCTATATATGTGTGTGTGAGTAGCTTAACTCCATCTTCCCCCTATATAGGGATCGACTTCAAAATCCGGACAGTGGACATTGAAGGGAAGAGGATCAAGCTGCAGGTTTGGTACGTGCTTCTGGTTCAGCGCAAACCTTTCATGAGTCTCTGCCCCAAGGCGCTTGCAAATCTACATTTTGACAGTACAGCAGGAGGCAGGCAGGTGTCTCCAAATGAGCAGAGGCAGGGAACTCTGTGCTTTTGGTTTATTTCAGTTGGGAGATAAAGGACTGGGGAGTTTGGGCTTCGGGGGGAAAGTCGAGTTTCAGACGGAGGCATTTGAAGAAAGGAGGTCTGAAAAAGCACCCTTTGGGTTGAGAAAGGAAGAAAAGGGCTAAAATGAGGACAGGATAGAGCATGGGTAGGCAAACTAAGGCCCGGGGGCAGGATCCGGCCCAATCGCCTTCCAAATCCGGCCTGCAGACCGGGAATCAGTGTGTTTTTACATGAGTAGAACATGTCCTTTTCTTTAAAATGCATCTCTGGGTTATTTGTGGGGCATAGGAATTCGTTCATTCCCCTCCTACAAAAAAATATAGTCTGCCCCCCACCAAGGTGTGAGGGACAGTAGACTGGTCCCCTGCTGAAAAAGTTTGCTGACCCCTGGGATAGAGGTTTATAATGCAGTGTGTGGTGTTGGAAAAGTAGAAAGTACAGTGGTACCTTGGTTTAAGAACAGCTTAGTTTATGAACAACTTGGATCAAGAACGCTGCAAACCCGGAAGTAGGTGTTTTTGTTTGTGAACTTAGCCTTGGAAGCAGAACATGTTTCGCTTCCTGTTGAGTGAGTTCCATTTGTAAATTGGGTTCCCCGATGCTATGGGAAAGCACACCCTGGTTTAAGAACCCTTTGGTTTAAGAACGGACTTCTAGAACGGATTAAGTTTGTAAACCAAGGTACCACTGTATCTTTAAAATACTCAAAACTTTCATTTCATCCAAATGAAATTGATCATCTGCAGAAAAGAGAAAAGTCGGGAAATCTCCTTCCTACCCCAATGCATAATTAATTTATTCCATATTATTTTGCGGTGCCTGTGATGTGGGTTTGATAGCCGGCTCCTCATCCTCTTTGGGAGCGATGCTCTGCTGAAGCTCAGAGGCTCCCAGTTTAACTGGAAACACAGCTCAAAATCCAGCCTGTGTCCAAGATCGGAGGGGAGCAACAGTTTAAAATCTCCGCCCCTCCACACTTGGGTGCTCAGATGTGATTGGACTATGACTCCCATCATCCTCAACCAGCTTAGTCTGCTGGTGAGGGATGATGGGAATTGTAGTCCAACCACATCCTGGGGACCCGAGAGTGGAGAATTTCCTGGTGAAAAGGGGTCTGAGCATCGCAACTCCTTCAAAATTTGTAGCAGAGTTTGCTAATGTTATGGAGGCTCCCTCTTTAGATAAAGATTTATATGTATTACTTAAAGGTAAAGGGACCCCTGACCATTAGGTCCAGTCGTGTCCGGCTCTGGGGTTGCGGAGCTCATCTCGCTTTATTGGCCGAGGGAGCCGGCGTCCAGCTTCCGGGTCATGTGGCCAGCATGACTAAGCCGCTTCTGGCGAACCAGAGCAGCGCACGGAAACGCCGTTTACCTTCCTGCCGGAGCGGTACCTATTTATATACTTGCACTTTGACGTGCTTTCGAACTGCTAGGTTGGCAGGAGCAGGGACTGAGCAACGGGAGCTCACCCCGTCGCGGGGATTCGAACCGCCGACCTTCTGATCGGCAAGTCCTAGGCTCTGTGGTTTAACCCACAGCGCCACCCGCGTCCCACATGTATTACTTAATTTGCTTCAAAGTGCAATTAAGGCAGCCTTTAGAGGGCATTGAAAAGGGATCAAGACAAATTCGTGGAGGAGAAGTCTATAAAAGGCTATCAGCTAGACGAGTTAAATGGAACCTCCTGGTTCAGAGGCAGTCTACCTCTGAATATGAATTTCTCTGGTGGGGAGGGGATGAAAAGTAGGGAAGATCTGCTCCTGTGCTTCCCAGAGGCATCTGATATGTCGCTGCGACTGACAGTGCTGGACTCGAGGAGCCTTTGGGTTTGATTCAGCAGCAAGGCTCTTCTTGCGTACGAGGCTTCGGAACGGGAAGGGTGCCTGTGGGAGGAGGTTCCAGATAATGGCCCCCGCCTCTTGCGATTTTGGACTTCTTTCTCTTGTAGGGACACGGCCGGCCAGGAACGGTTCAAGACCATCACCACAGCGTATTACCGGGGAGCCATGGTATGGAATTCTGATACTCAGCAGCCCCTAGCTTCTTGGCCAGGCTGGAATGCCGTTGCGCGATTGGTGTCAGAAGTGGGATCTTCGTAGCCTAGGGAGGGCCCCCTAATATACGGTCAAAAGGGCCAAGATGCAACAATAATAATAATAATAATAATAAATTTTATTTATATCCCGCCCTCCCCAGCCGAAGCCGGGCTCAGGGCGGCTAACAACAATCAAATAATCAAACAGTCAAATAATCACACATTCTAAAAATATTTCATTACAAAAATTAATAATAATAAATAATAATAAATAATTAATAAACAAGGCTACCAAGGAAGGATTTTGCCATTGGGGAGAAGCTTACGGCCAGTAAGTGTGTGTGTGTGTTTTAATCGGAATTCTGGGATAAATATACAATCAGCAGGTTTGCATCAATTTGCATTTTATTTATTTGTTAACATTCTTATATTACATCGTTAAACGTTGTCATTTAACATTACAGGACTTGCTATAACTTCCAACATGTATACAAAAATTATATACAAATTTTATGCACCTAGAAAGAAAATGAAACAAACCAAAAAAGAACAAAGAGAAAAAGCAAAAACAAATCCCCCCCCAAATCATATACATACCGACACACTAGACTTCCTGTCTTTCCCATTGTATATTCCTTTTTTACAAATGAACGTACTCTTATTATTGTAGATTTCTTTACATATTATCTAATACATTCCTATATTAATATGTGCTCTTAGTCTTATTTCTCAACTCAGTCCCACTCCAACGTCAATCAAATGCTAGCAGGTTTCTGCAACCTGACCTTGATGTCAGATGGGTAGATTTTTTAATTCGTTTGCTTGCTGCGTTGCCGTTCGTTCTGTTAAAACGCAGGCCAGTATTAACACCCGGTTCCTTCCTAGGGGATTATCCTTGTGTACGACATCACGGATGAGAAATCCTTTGAGAACATCCAAAATTGGATGAAGAGCATTAAGGAAGTGAGTGAGCATGAGGAAAAGTGTGGGGTGGGTGTGGGATGGAGAGGGTCTGTGGCTGGCAGGTGCCCACCCTGTTTTCTCGTCCGCCCTCTTACCCACCCGGTACGGATCCGACATCGCCTTGCGGTAGACGGGGGGGAAGGCAGGAGGGTGCTGGCACTGTGGGCACGATGATTCTGTTCTCCCTCCATGGCTGCAGGCAGTGAAGTTGCAAGTTGCTGGGAATTGCAAGGAGGGGGAGAGTGTTGGGATGTGTCCTGGGAGACGGGGGCAATTGGCAGGCCCCCCGCTGGCTCCAGCCCACCAGCCAGCAGCCGGGCAAACTCCGGTTCTCAGAACAGCATCAAAACGGCGACTCAAGCCTCAGAAACCTATAGAGACTGAGCACGCAAGCCAGCAGAGATAAGAACTCTTTGCAACGGAAGGGTGGCATATTTACAAGCATTTTATTCAGCATAAAGAAAAAACATGTCTGCTCCCCTTCGTGTCCAAGCAAAAGCATCAGCGAAAGCTATACACAACGGACGTTCCCAGCAGGCTGTGCTGGAAGTAAACAGACATGTGACATACAACAATCCATACAACTATTTTAAGGTGGAACGGAACATCATAATCCTAACAGAGTAGGTCTTGCGCCCGGATCCTGCTGGTGGACTTCCCATTGGGGCATCCCCGTTGGCCACTGGGAGAACAGGATTCGGGACTAGATGGGCCACTGGTCTGATCCCGCAAGGTTTTTCTGATGGTACAGGTGGAGGATCAGGGTGGGAAAACCTGAAACCTGCCTGGTCAATGTCTGGATCTCTCTGCCCCCCTTTTCTTCTGCAGAACGCTTCGGCCGGCGTAGAGCGCCTCCTGCTGGGGAACAAGTGTGACATGGAAGGCAAACGCAAAGTGCCCCGGGACCGAGCAGAGAAGGTATCTGATGCAGCCAGAGCGACAAACTCAGGCGGGGCAGAGAGACAGGGTGCGGCGGGGAGGAAATGGTGCATGGGGACGGGCGCTTGAAGGTTTGAGTGCTGGGCTGAGCGGTTTTCTGGAGCGCCTCACCCCCTCAGTTAAACCTTCCTGCACTCGGATTTAATGGTGAGGTTGGGGAGTTCTTCATAGAGTGATTTGCTCTATGAAGCACTTAAACAGTTTGCCTGGGCTGCCTGCCATCCTGTGTTGGTGCTGCCACCTCTTGGTGGTCACATAAACTGCAGCGTGATGACAGCCTTACATTTTTATGTATATAGGTGTACAGTGGTACCTCGCAAGACGAATGCCTCGCAAGACAAAAAACTCGCTAGACAAAAGGTTTTTCCGTTTGCGAGTTGCCTCGCAAGACGAATTTCCCTATGGGCTTGCTTCGCAAGACGAAAACGTCTCGCGACTTTGTTTCCTTTGTCTAAATAATAATTCGCAAGACGAAAAATTCGCTAGACGGCAAAACTTGCGGAACGAATTAATTTCGTCTTGCGGGGCACCACTCTATATATCTCCACACCCACACCTATACAGTGGTACCTTAGGTCAAGTACTTAATTCGTTCCGGAGGTCCGTTCTTAACCTGAAACTGTACTTAACCTGAAGCACCATTTTAGCTAATGGGGCCTCCTGCTGCCACTGTGCCGCCGGAGCACGATTTCTGTTCTCATCCTGAAGCAAAGTTCTTAACCCGAGGTACTATTTCTGGGTTAGCGGAGTCTGTAACCTGAAGCGTATGTAACCCGAGGTACCACTGTATACATGAAAAAGTAAGGTTGTCATCTATCTATCTATCTGGGTGGGTGTAAGTTTTTCAAAGATGAAACAATAACCAAAGTAACCATTAAGAGGGTCATATATAAGCATGTATGTAAAGAAGTATCGCGGGTGGCACTGTGGGTAAAAGCCTCAGCGCCTAGGGCTTGCCGATCGAAAGGTCGGCGGTTCGAATCCCCGTGGCGGGGTGCGCTCCCGCTGCTCAGTCCCAGCGCCTGCCAACCTAGCAGTTCGAAAGCACCCCCAGGTGCAAGTAGATAAATAGGGACCGCTTACCAGCGGGAAGGTACCGTATTTTTCGCACTATAGGACGCACTTTTTCCCCTCCAAAAATGAAGGGGAAATGTGTGTGCGTCCTATGGTGCGAATGCAGGCTTTTGCTGAAGCCTGGAGAGCGAGAGGGGTCCGTGCGCACCGACCCCTCTCGCTCTCCAGGCTTCAGGAAGCTATCCCAAGTCTTGCAAGCCCGGCGGGATGTCCCGCGGGCTCGCAAGGCTTGCGGGCAGCAGCCTGCACCCAAAAGCTGGGGACAGCGGGGAGGCGCAGAGCCGCCACCCCGCTATTCCCCGACCTGATCTGGAGGCTGGCGGGGGGAGAAGCAAGCCTGCTTCTCCCCCCCCAGCCCCACAAGCTCGGGGGATAGGGGGATGGTGAAGCGCCGCCATCCCGCTATTCCCCGACCTGATCTGGAGGCTGGGGGTGGGAGAAGCAAGCCTGCTTCTCCCCCCCCCACCATCCCCACAACCTCCAGATCAGGTCGGGGAACAGCGGGATGGCAGCGCTCCGCCATCCCGCTATTCCCCGACCTGATCTGGAGGCTGGGGGTGGGAGAAGCAAGCCTGCTTCTCCCCCCCCCCATCCCCACAACCTCCAGATCAGGTCGGGGAATAGCGGGATGGCGGCGCTCCGCCATCCCGCTATTCCCCAACCTGATCTGGAGGCTGGGGGTGGGAGAAGCAAGCCTGCTTCTCCCCCCCCCAGCCCCACAACCTCCAGATCAGGTCGTGGAATAGCGGGATGGCGGCGCTCCGCCATCCCGCTATTCCCCGACCTGATCTGGAGGCTGGGGGTGGGAGAAGCAAGCCTGCTTCTCCCCCCCCCCAGCCCCACAACCTCCAGATCAGGTCGGGAAATAGCGGGATGGCGGCGCTCCGCCATCCCGCTATTCCCCGACCTGATCTGGAGGCTGGGGGTGGGAGAAGCAAGCCTGCTTCTCCCCCCCCCCAGCCCCACAACCTCCAGATCAGGTCGTGGAATAGCGGGATGGCGGTGCTCCGCCATCCCGCTATTCCCCGACCTGATCTGGAGGCTGGGGGTGGGAGAAGCAAGCCTGCTTCTCCCCCCCACCCAGCCCCACAACCTCCAGGCTTCAGGAGAGCCCCACCGCCAGCCCCACAAGCTCGGGGGACAGCGGGAGAGGCGCAGCGCGCCCTTCCCGCTGTCCCCCGACTTGGCTAGAAGGCTGGCGGGGGGAGAAGCCTGCTCCTCCCCGTCGCCAGCCCCGCAAACTCGGGGGACAGCGGGAGAGGCGCAGCGGGCCATCCCGCTGTCCCCCGACTTGGCTGGAAGGCTGGCGGGGGGAGAAGCCTGCTCCTCCCCATCGCCAGCCCCGCAAACTCGGGGGACAGCGGGAGAGGCGCAGCGCGCCTTTGCCGCTGTCCCCCGACTTGTCTAGAAGGCTGGCGGGGGGAGAAGCCTGCTCCTCCCCGTCGCCAGCCCCGCAAACTCGGGAGACAGCGGCAGGGGCGCAGCGCGCCCTTCCCGCTGTCCCCCGACTTGGTTAAAAGGCTGGCCCAGCCCCGCAAACTTGGGGGACATCGGGAGAGGCGCAGCGCGCCTTTGCCGCTGTCCCCCGACTTGTCTAGAAGGCTGGCGGGGGGAGAAGCCTGCTCCTCCCCGTCGCCAGCCCCGCAAACTCGGGAGACAGCGGCAGGGGCGCAGCGCGCCCTTCCCGCTGTCCCCCGACTTGGTTAGAAGGCTGGCCCAGCCCCGCAAACTCGGGGGACAGCGGGAGAGGCGCAGCGCGCCATCCCGCTGTCTCCCGACATGGTTTGGAGGCTGGCGGAAGGCTTCCTCCTCCCCCAGCCCCGCAAGCTCCCAGAGCGATGCCAAAGCTGCGCGCAGCTTCGGCATGGCTCTGGGTCCCGTTCTGGGGGAGGGGGAAGCTCGGGCTTCCCTGCCCCAGCCCCGCGCCTGGCGGGGGGGGGGAATAAATTTTTTTTTGCCTTTATTTCCCCCCCCCAAATCTAGGTGCGTCCTATGGACCGGTGCGTCCAATAGTCCGAAAAATACGGTAAACGGCGTTTCCGTGTGCTGCGCTGGCTCGCCAGATGCAGCTTGTCACGCTGGCCACGTGACCCGGAAGTGTCTGCGGACAGCGCTGGCTCCCGGCCTATAGAGTGAGATGAGCGCCCAACCCTAGAGTCTGTCAAGACTGGCCCGTAAGGGCAGGGGTACCTTTACCTTTTTTTAAAGAAATATCAGGTAGCCCAAGCTATGATGTGATCATCTAGGAGGGAATATTAAAAGTCACATTTATTCACCCAAGATAATCTTCCATCAATTCCTCTGATTCCTTCCTGTTCTTGCACTTGAGCAGCTGTTCAGGTTTTGTAACAAACTGTGTGTGACGGGGGAAGGCTTACGTGTACCCTTTCCTTGCTGTCAGTCAACCAAGCAAGTCTGATGCCTGCCCACCCCTCTTCTATGGGGTCAGGAGAAGACTGAGAGGGGTTGTGGGGTGGGTGCAGCAGGGGTTGCCAAAGAGTTGGCGTTAGGACAGGTTCCCCGCCCCCCATTCCAAGTATCCCACTTCTTTCCCAACAGCTATCCAAGGAGCACGGGATCAGGTTTTTTGAGACGAGTGCGAAATCCAGCTTGAACGTAGAGGAGGTGAGTGGCGAGAAACTCTCATTTATTTCAGCATTTTGCTGCTGCGTTTCAGGGCTACGTCACTGCAGCTTCTGCATAAAAGAAGTGTGTGTGGTGTCTATAGAGTCGGTAGCAGGAAATAGGGACCCTTGAGGTCCTCTAGGTGTGGTTGGACTCAAGCTCCCATCAATCGTGACCATTGGGCCATGCTGGCTGGGGATGATGGGAGCTGTAGTCTTAACAACATCTAAAGGCACCCGTTTTCTGCACCCCTGCTTTGTTGTCTCCATAAGTGCATTTGGTGTGTGATCCCTAATTGGTTGGGATGTGATTGGACCCAGGGCACAAGGGAAGGAACCTAGATCCCTGCAGCTGTTTCTAGCGGATCACAACTCCCATAATCTTTGACCATTGATTGCGCTGGCTGATGGGAGTCCACCAACAATTGGAGAGCTGCCTAGGGGGCCACCCCACACTCACAGAAACACAACACAAACATCTATATGTGCTGCATTCATAAGGCACAGTTCCCTCATTCAGGACCAGGGAGTCCTCCATACCTGCCCGCCTCCTGTCCCCCAAAAACAGTACTTCTGTCTTGTCAGGATTCAACCTCAATCTGTTAGCCGCCATCCATCCTCCAACCGCCTCCAGACACTCACACAGGACCTTCACCGCCTTCACTGGTTCTGATTTAAAGAGAGGTAGAGCTGGGTATCATCTGCATACTGATGAACACCCAGCCCAAACCCCCTGATGATCTCTCCCAGCAGCTTCATGTAGATGTTGAAAAGCATGGGGGAGAGGACGCAACCCTGAGGCACCCCACAAGTGAGAGCCCAGGGCTCTGAACACTCATCCCCCAACCCTACTTTCTGAACACGGCCCAGAAGGGAGGCCCACTGTATAGCAGTGCCCCCAGCTCCTCTAGATGGCCCAGAAGGATGTTATGGTCAATGGAGGGCTTCCCTCCTCCCAAAGAGTGACTGGGCTGTTTAAATGGGAGCAAAGGAAGGCCTACCTCACAGGGGTGTTGTGAAGGCAAACAATTTTTTGCATATTAAAATAATGAACGAACGTGACAGATGAGACTCATCTCCGTTTCTCCCCTCCAGGCTTTCAGCACGTTGGCCCGGGACATACTTCTGAAATCAAGCAAAAAATCGGTGAGGAATCTGTGAGAAAGGGGCTGGGGTTTTTTTTTGGGGGGGGGGACTTCCCTGAGCAGGGGTGTGATGGTTCAGGGTTTGGACAGCTAGCCTGAGGAAGGAGGGGAAGAGGTGGATGAGAAATCTGAAGTCACTGGGTGGCTGGGGCCTATCAGAGCCAGTGGTGGACTTGGGTAATAGATTAGGGTTACCGGATGTCCCCGGATTTGCAAATCTGTCCCCGGACAAATTCCGTCCCCGGCATGTCCCCAGATTTGCAAATCCGTCCCCGGGAAACGTGGCAGCGGCAGCCTCAGCAGCCCGGAGCCAGCCTGGTAGCGCAGTTGGCTCTGGCTGGCTCCAGGAGCTGCTCGCTGCCCTCTGCTGTAGCACCCGCCATTTTCCCTTGCCGAAACTTCTGGCAAGGAAAAATGGCGGGCACCACGGCAGTGAGCAGCTCCTGAAGCCAACCAGAGCGAACTGTGCTACCAGGCTAACTCTAGGCTGCTGACTGCCGCTGCCACTGCCGAAGGGGAACCGGGGACGTCCGGCGGTACAGATCTCCGGTGCCCTTCCCCCTTTGTTTTGACTGATCAGGGGAGGCTCGGGAGTTGCAGGCGGGCAGCCGTTGCCCAGTTTTTTAAAAACTCTGCACATTTATGTTTCACAAGGTGCGAAAGAAGGGGTTTGCACCTTGCCTGGCAGAGAAACCCTTCGCCTTGCACCCCTCCTGGGTCCCAAGCCTCCCCCGATCTGTCAAAACAAAGGGGGAAGGGGGAAGGAGATCGGGGAAAGCTTGGGAGTCACAGCCAGGTGGCGTGCCATTGCCCAGTTTTTTAAAAACTCTTTGCATTTTATGTTTCACAGGGTGCAAAAGAAGGGCTTTGCACCTTTATACAATATGCATGTGTGCTTGGGCCCAGGGTCTTTCGCCTCGCCATCCCCACTACTGACTCCCTGTTGCTACTCAGCTTCAAAAAAAGAAAAAGTGTCCATGGATTCATTGAAAAAAATCATGTAATAGATGCCAAAATTTGACGCCCCACCTTGTGCGACCTTCCCAAAGCCAGCTAAGAGAGGCACCAGATTTTGGGAAGGAGGCACGAGAGTCTGGCGGGGTCCTAGAGCCCGCCCTCTTCCCAAAGCTGGGGAAATGCTAACTAGGCTTTGAGAAGGAGCAAACAGACAGTATGACCCTGTCAGAGCCTCAAGCCTCCTTCCCAAAAACCATGGAGGGCAGAGCACAGCCATTGTGGCTAGCAGCTGCCGATAGCTTTTTCCTCCTCCTCCTCCTCCTCCTGTGGATTTGTCCATTGCCATCCAAGCTGGTGTCTGTCCTCACCTCCAGTGGCAGCGGGTTCCACAGTTCAACGACGTGCTCTGTGTAATAGTACTTCCTACCCTCTTGTCCGTCTCTCCTCTCCTCCAGGCCCAGCACGCCAAGGGCCCTTTGGAGCTGAAAGCATCACAGAAAAGCAGCAGTAAATGTTTGGTGGTGTAGCGGCGACTGTCCCGTCCCGTCGCTCCTCTGCCTTGTCGTAGGACGTACCCCTTTCGCCATTTACGCTCCAAATGCCTCCGCTTTCTTCCACGAAGCTCAGAAACCCTTCCGGGCGGGACCCTGGGAGTGGGGGCTGACGGCAGGTGGGGCTCGCAGGCCGAGACCTCCCTCTCTTCCCCCTTTTGCGTCCCCACATTCCTTAGCCGTAGGGAATATAGACCATTTGGAAGGGATCTCGCCCGAGGGATGTGGGTCTAGGGTTGCCAGAACTCCTCTGGGGGTGACCCCAATTCTCCAGGGTCGCCTGGGCCCCTTCCAGGCAGCAGAGAAGGCCTTAGATGGCCGATAGTGCCTTAAAAAAAATAATAGCTATTTTTTAATTCAGAAAAACTACGTGTGCAGCTTCCAAGTTTCAGCTTGGCAGGAGCCAGCTGCAGATAACTGCATATTGCTCCCAATTAACTTCCGTCTCCAGGGCTCAGTGGTGGAAGTGCAGAGGAAGAACCCCCGGGGCCTGTCCCTAGGTCTCAGGTTTAGACCCTGAAATATTAGGGTCTGGGATGCTCCCGACCTGGCAACCCTATGGGGGAACCACTACCAAGATAATGGAGGGAATTACATTTTGGGGGTGAAGCTGGGGGCTTGGCTGCAGTGGAGCCAGAATGCACTGGGGCCCCCATGAACCACAGAATTTGGAAGTGACTCAAAGGGTCATCTAAGTCCAACCCCTGGACTTTTTTGAGTGGGGATGGGGGCAGCTACAGGATGCCGACACTTCCCCCACAACCAGTCTATTCCCGGGAAAATGTGTTCACCCTGTAATGCAACTTCTTGCTCGTAAGAAGGGCTCTTATCGCCCCAGCCCAACATCCCGTGAGGAAGAGGGGTTGCCTTACCCTCTGCCCCCACAGGGCCCCCTCCCCACATCACACAGCAGCCTGGAAATGTGCCCCCAGAAACTCCCCCTCCAGAAAAGACCCACACAACATTCCACATGTGCCTCTTAGTTATTATTATTAATTTTGTTCGGGAACCCTTTGAACAGTATTAAAATGTTTGCCGTGATTTCTGAATGTCTCCTGTACTAAATGTGGCAGGCCTTGCGAGAGTCGGCCTGGCTGGTGGGGGGGGGGGAATGCCTTCTGTCGCATGGCATACAGAACCCGAGAGATTAAAAAGTGGGTGTTCTTGTGGGGGGACGGGAGCTCTTGCTGTGCCCCTTAAGAGAGGTGCCACGTACCGCACGATCTGCACTTGGAAGACTTCAAATCTTGTGCCTTCGCTGTGCTGTTTTGGGTGCCAGCTAAAAGCATTTTTTGTTTAGACTCGCAGCGGTTCCCAACCTGTGGGTCCCCAGATGTTGTTGGACTACAACTCCCATCATCCCTGAGCTCTGGCCTTGCTAGCTAGGGGTGATGGGAGTTGTAGTCCAACAACATCTGGGGACCCACAGGTTGAGAAAGGCTGATTTAGAGAATCCTACCCAGATATGTAGAACACTGGTGCGTGTTTCAATCTTTCTAGTTTATTGCCGGTTTTAATTTTTTTAAGAACGTTTCAAACACTGTACTGTAGTTGCTTTTAGCTTTTTTATAAACCGATAATCTCTGTAAACCTCTTTGAGGTTTATTTTACGATCAAGCAAGTACGGTATATAGATTTTTATGAAAGGAGGAAATAATAAAACAAAAATGCATCTTTAGTCATATCCATGCTATATATTCAAAGCACTTTCAGCGCTCATGGAATGCACATGACATCTACAAAAAAATAACAAAAAATTGTGGGAATTATAGTTCACCCCACACAGAACTACAATTCCCAGCCCCTTTAACGAACTACAGCTCCTGGCATTCTCTGGGGGAAAGCCGTGTGTTGAATGCATTTTAAATGTACGGTTTGGGCATTATGCCCGTTCTCTATCCTGTTGCAGTGACTTTTCCTAGGCCTTTCCCACAGGTATCCCATTTTTAATTCTCCATGTTTTTTTAAAAAAATATCCATGCATTTCAGGCGTGCGGAATGTGTGCAGCACTCCAGGTGCCGTTGGACTACAACTCCCACCAACCACTGCAACCAGAGTAGGCTTGTCATTGATTTCTAACGGGTCTACCCTGAGAAGGACAGGTGTTCTTGGGCTCCATCTCCCACCTGCCCCAGCAAACATGGCCAGTGATCAGGGGGTCATAGACATGCTCTCACCAACTGAGCTATGGAGGGATGGTGGGAGTTGTGGTTTGGCAACATCAGGAGGCCCACAGGCTCCTCATACCTGTCCTCAGCCAAACAGGTATGGTGCATTAATGCATTTGCGCAGGTGTAAGACAGGGACGCGGGTGGCGCTGTGGGTTAAACCACAGAGGCTAGGACTTGCCGATCAGAAGGTCGGCGGTTCGAATCCCCGTGATGGGGTGAGCTCCCATTGCTCAGTCCCTGCTCCTGCCAACCTAGCAGTTCGAAAGCACGTCAAAGTGCAAGTAGATAAATAGGTACCGCTCCGGTGGGAAGGTAAACGGTGTTTCCGTGCACTGCTCTGGTTCGCCAGAAGTGGCTTAGTCATGCTGGCCACATGACCCGGAAGCTGTACGCCGGCTCCCTTGGCCAATAAAGCGAGATGAACGCCACAACCCCAGTCGGCCACAACTGGACCTAATGGTCAGGGGCCCCTTTACCTTTAAGACAGGGATGGGGAGCCTGTGGCCTTCTAGATGTGGTTGGGAGCCTGGCTCCCGTCTTCCCTTTTCTGCAGTGGCTCCCTGTGTGCAAAACGCTGTCCCTGGAAAGGCTTCCCTGGCACTGTCATTGCATGTCTTTAGGAGCCAGGCGAAAACAAGGAGGGAATGGAGTACCTTGGGAAGGTCACAGCTGGCTGGCTGGCACCCCGAAAGGAGCACGCCACATACTGCAACATTTCTTGCACGCCCCGCATCCATTCCACAAAAGGAATGGTGGCATTACTGAGTCAGACCATTGGTTCGCCTAGCTCAGTACTGTCTACACTGACAGGCAGCAGCTCTCCAGGAAGGGGATCTTCCCAGCCCTACTCGGAGATGCCGTTGGGGATTGAACCCGGGACTTTCTGCATGCAAAGCAGATGCCCTACCACTCAGCTCCAGTCCTGCCCTCAAATACAATAGTATGATTCTAGTCCACATGGTTCTGAGTGAATAAAGGGCTGATTTAAAGAGAGGCATAGCAATTTCCCCATTGGTCCATCTTGCTTGGTATCGTCTACACTGACTAGCAGTGTCTCTCCGGTGCTTCAGACGGGGGGCAGGACAATCAAACGATCTTTATTACGGTCAAAGACCAGACACCAAAGTTAACAACAGCAAGACGTTCTTTCCCAGCCTGACCTGATGCTACAGGAGGCCTTGTGCTGCAGATCTTAATATCCAGGCAGTTTCTGCACGAGACAACTTATAGAGACCATTTCGCCAAGCAGAGAATGCTAGTACAGTGGTACCTCGGGTTGAGTACTTAATTCATTCTGGAGGTCCGTTCTTAACCTGAAACTGTTCTTAACCTGAAGCACCACTTTAGCTAATGGGGCCTCCTGCTGCTGCCGCACCACCGGAGCATGATTTCTGTTCTCATCCTGAAGCAAAGTTCTTAACCTGAGGTACTATTTCTGGGTTAGCGGAGTCTGTAACCTGAAGCGTCTGTAACCCGAGGTACCACTGTATATTCATTCCCAAGCTTGCCGTTCCCAATGCCCAATTGCTATTGTTTAAGGCAGCTATTTTGCCTGCTGCGTTTTGAAAAGTCTTGGCCCCAAACTAGTTTATCGGTGCAGCGTTTAAAAACTAGCCATAGTCAACAAGGATCCACCAACAGCATACAGATCAATGTGCTTTACTTGACCCAACAATCCATCCAGAGCCAGTGTGGTGTAGTGGTTTAAGAGCGGTGGACTCGTAATCTGGGGAACCGGGTTCGCTTCCCCGCTCCTCCACATGCAGCTGCTGGCTGACCTTGGGCTAGTCACACTTCTCTGAGGTCTCTCAGCCCCACTCACCTCACAGAGTGTTTGTTGTGGGGGAGGAAGGGAAAGGAGAATGTGAGCCGCTTTGAGACTCCTTAGGGTAGTGATAAAGCGGGATATCAAATCCAAACTCTTCTTCTTCTTCCTCCCCCCAACTCCAAACATGCAAACAAATCTCACTGCAGTTGACCAAAGGCAATCAACCACACCCTGCCCCCCCTTCTCTCACTCTATTATTTCAAATAAACAAACTAGCCCTAGTCAATCTGAGCTGGGACGGCCATCTTGAGGAAGCGTCTCCTGCTAATGTATACAGAAACGACAAGATACAGAGGGATGCCATATTTTGAAGAGCAAAAAAGAATACAAATTTCCTGACTTTTATCTTTAACTACGGATCGCTATGACGACTCTCATTTTAAAATAATAGTAATACAAACGATCAAAGTGGCTATAATCGAATACGTAAGCAATTGTGAAAGTAAATGTGCTCAAATTACAATAAAAAAATAGAACATGTGTTTCAATACATCGGCACGCTGTATGAAATTCCTGAAACACTTTCAGAGGCACTTTGTTCTTCTGTCCGGCGCTGTTTCGCCCAAGCGTATTTCTCTGTAGATCTGATCTTGTTCAACAGCTGCTTATTGCTTAAGAGATAGGCGTGAAACTCCTTGCAAGCAACGTGCTTATAATTATATTGCAGTAGCACCATGCTGCGCAGCGAGTCCAAGGATAAGTTGCCTCTCTCTTTGCTCAGAGAGAAAGAGAACCCCGCGTTTGCAGGACGTGAGGCGAGGGCAAAGAAACCCTGGGCCATCTTCAAAAGTTCCGAGTGGCACATAACGTTTTTGGAAGTCTCAAAGTACTTGGTCCACTTCTGGTGTGCCTGGAGCTTAATGAACTCGTCGTCGCCTTTAAACTGATCCACAAACTTCTCAAGGTTGCAGAATTGATCGAAGCACTTCCCCTCATCTATGGACACATCCCTGTCCAGGAGAAACTTTATGGAAGGTCCTACTTTGTCCCACTCTAGCGACTCACTAAGAGACATCCACATGAAGCATGAAAACTCCTTCATGGGCTCCATCCATTTTTCCAGATACTCTATGCAGCTGTCATAGAAGCTATTGACCTCTGCGCAGAACTTGTCACACTCCGCGCCGAAACCTGCCTCACGCTTTTCTTTCAGAAGGCTCTTGACCTTGAGGGACATGAAGCTGTGGCTCCTGCGTTCGGCGAGCATGTTCTGGACGCAAAGCAGAACTTGCAGAACCTCCACGACCGAATTATTCTCCCTTTCGAGTTCTAAGACGTAGGAGTGAAACATACTCATCAGAGACTGCAAGTGCAAGAGGTAAGCCTCACTAAGCTCATGCTCAAAAAACTCCTGCAACACTGTTGGCGGTTTATTCTGCGAGAGGAAAAAGGCCTTGACGGTTGGAAACACGTGAATGAGTCTAGTGATGCCTTGAAAGGACGACAACCAGCGTGTTTTGCTGTGAGACAGCAGCTTTTTGTATTCAGTGTCCACGAATTCACAGTACTCCTTTAACTGCTCCGTTTGGACTCTATAGATGTGAAAGTACTGGTATATCTTGAAAATGATGCTCTCAACGTCGACGTCCAACGTGTCTGCTGCCTGATGGACACAGTTATTCAAAATGTGCGCTGGACATCCCACACCAAGTGAAGTTTTGTTATCCAGCTCACTCTTCGACTTGGCAAACACACTCCTTCCTTCTGAATCCTGCTGTGTCCCTCCAAACATTGTGTTGCAGTTGTCACCTGTGAACGCTATGCATTTCTTTAGCAGTCCTTTACTCTCAAGAGTTTCCTTCACGTACGAAAAGATTGTATCTGCGCTCTCATTGGGCTGGCTTTTCATTTCAATTATTTTGGACTGCAAACCGCCACTTTTCCAGTCAAAATACTGAATAACTATTGCAACCACCTTGACCGGACCGTGGTTACCGGCGTCAGTAGAAATGCCACAATAATCTATTTCGTTTTCTTCAAGGCTTTTCAGAACGTTTTCCAAACAATCGGGAGCCAGTACAGAATTTACAATTGCCTCTGTCTTG